TGCCCCACTCCGAGGTCTGGGCTGAGCTTGACGATCTTCTAGCAAGTTCCCAAGCGGTGCTGAGGCTGCGGATATAGGCACTGGCGTGGAAAGGATGGTTTAGCGTTTGTCCCACGTGGGGGCTGAGCTCTGGAGAAACGCTGTGCGTGCTGATGAGAGCCTTTCATGGGGATGGACATCATCTGGGAGCCTTGTTGCTGGAATCTGCTTCAACTAGCGGAAGGTGGGCTGAACATCGCAGGCGCATCTGGTGTTGCTGACCACGGTAACCGAGGAGACAGAAGTCTGCAACTGTTCCCTGATGACTGTGAAATTCCAAGCTTCCTGGCCCCTCTCAGTTCCCTGTCGGGTTCTTTGATTGACTCACTTCAATTCCACAAGAACCAAGTTGTCTTCTTTAAACAATCTCATTTAACAACAGATTTGGAACCACGTATTAAAATAAACTCCTTACAAAAAGATAATAGAAAAACTGGTCTGTGTCAGTGTGATGGCTCCTGCTTCATTATGTAAAATGGCTTATGAATTAAATCATTATGGAAGAGTTTATTCTTTTAACTCCAAATTGAAAATAGTATCATCCACAATATTATGCACTTTAACTTGGGGGGAGCAACGCTTTTTGTCAAAGACTCAATAGATAAAGAAAGAAAACGGGCAGATTTTAAGGATCAATGAAATTACTAAAATAGCGTTTTCATCTAGAGAAGGAAGGAATTAGACGAAATGAGGAGGCTAGGGGGTAGATTAGTTGTGATTAGTTGACTAACTAATACACTGGGGCTACAGTAACTTCATAGTCAATGGCGGGGTCTGTGGGAGTCGAGCTCATGGATGCCATGGGGGAAGAAGCTTCAAGGATTATGAGGTGAGAGATCGCAGCTACCAAATGCTACTGTCGTCCTGCTAGGTGTGGATTGGAGACTGGGGGGTGTACCCAGGTTTCCCACGTGCATTTAAGGAGCTGGGTCATGCTGTAGTAGGAACTGGGGTGGGGCGGGGGAATGCTGTCCCTCCATGGGTGGTGAAAGTAGAGATGGCAAGTAACCCTGATCTCAGGCTAACCGGTGCCAGGGTCACCTAGAGAACTTGCTTTAGCAGTGCTGGGCCCACCTCAAACTCCACCTCCTCTAGACCTGCTGTGAAGTTAGGTTTCACTTCTAACACATTCCTGTACTGAGGCTGGCTAGAAAACTACCTGTCGTCTGTCAATCAGCATTTAAGATGATCGACTGAAAAACGTAAAGATATATCTGGGCTCAAATTTCAGTTGATGGGCCTCTGGCAATGGGTTTGCTTAGAGCCTGTAAAGGGAGGGACAGGGAGCAAGTGGTGGGCAGAGCTTCTCACTTGATGCCAGAGGGAATACAGAAGGAGAACGACAAGAAAGGCTTTGATTCCTACCATCCTCTTTGAAAGTATAACCCAAAGGACCTAAGAACTTGTGTTGACCCCGCCTCTTAACGTTTCTTCACCACCAACAGCACCAAGTTGTAACAAGCCCCCAGTACTCAAGCCACTGGAGGAACAGTCTAGATTCAAACTATAGTGCTTTCTGATTTGACTCTAGATTTAGATCAGATTTTTTCTTTTATTTATTTATTTTTTAATTTATTACAATTTATTCACTTTGTGTCCCAGCTGTAGCTCCTTCCATCCCCCTTCTTCTCCCATGCCCCTCCTCTAGTTCACTGATAGGGGAGGTCCTCCTCCCCTTCCATCTGACCCTAGCCTATCAGGTCTTATCAGCACTGGCTGCCTCTGTGGCCTGGTAAGGCTGCCTCCCCCATTAGGGAGAGGTGATCAAAGATCCAGCCATGTCATGTCAGAGACAGTCCCTGTTCCCAGTACTAGGGAATTCACTTGGACACTGAACTGCCATGAGCTACATGTGTGCAGGGGTTCTAGGTTATCTCCATGCTGGGTCCTGGGTTGGAGTATCAGTCTCAGAAAAGACCCCTGGGCCTAGATTTTTTGGTTCTGTTGCTCTCCATGTGGAACTCCTGGTCTTTCTATCTCCCTCTTCTTCCATAAGATTCCCTGCACTCTGCCCAAAGTTTGGCTATGAGTCTCAGCATCTGTTTTGATACCCTGCTGGCTAGAGTCTTTCAGAGGCTCTCTGTGGCAGGCTCCTATCCTGTTCCATGTTTTCTCTATCTTCCGTGGTCTATGCCATTTACCTTTCTGAATGAGGATTGAGCATCTTACCTGGGATCCTGCTTCTTGCTTAGCTTCTTTAGGTGTACAGATTTTAGTATGTTTACCCTATATTATATCCACTTATAAGTGAGTATATACCATGCAGAAAGGGGAACCTTCCTCCATTGCTGGTGGGAATGTAAACTTGTACAACCACTTTGGAAATCAATCTGGTGTTTTATCAGACAATTAGGAATAGTGTTACCTCAAGATCCAGCTATACCACTCTTTGGCATATATACATTTGCTCAACCATGTTTGTAGCAGCTTTATTAATAATAGCCAGAATCTGGAAACATTGTAGAAATCCCTCAACCAAAGAATGGACACAGAAATGGTGGTACGTTTGCACAATGGAATACTACTCAGCAATTAAAAACAAGGAAATCATGAAATTTGCAGACAAATGGTGAGAACTAGAAAAGATCATCCTGAGTGAGGTATCCTAGGTCAGGTGTTTTTTTTTTTTTTTTTTTTTTTAACTTTGGCACTATTGCCGTTAGAGGCCAGATAAGCTGTTGCTGTGTGGAACTGTCCTTCCCTTTATAGGACATTAATACCAGGTTTCCATCCATTAGGCACCAGTAGCCCCCAAAGTGTGATAGGCAAAATGCTCTCCAGCATCTTTAAGTGCCCTTGAGGGTCAGTGCCATCCACCACTTTAGGTTAATACAACACACAGGGGAAACTGCAAGACATTGCAGGGATGTGACCTGAAATGGGGAAATAGTGAGCCACAGCCTGCAAGGTAGGAATTGGTATGATTATAGCTCAAATGACCTGCTCATGTTAAGGCCTCATACTTCAGCTTTTAATGAACTGACCCCAGAAAAATCAAGTTGGAGCTGTGATTCCAAGTTCCTTTCAGGTGTCTACATCCTGGAATTCTGAAAACCAGCTAAGGGTTCTCTCCTACATAGTAGTTATTTCCAGATCATTCATCTCTCTATAATGTACACTTCCTGTCTCTCTCTTTCGTTTTGTGTGTTTGTGTATGTGTATAATTTCTTTTAATTTTTTGAGACAGATTCTTTCATTATGTAGTCTGAGCTGCCTTGAACTTGCTCACCTGCCTCAGCACACCCCACTTTCCCAGTTCCCCCATACAGCTGTCACAAATCTGCACCACCAGCCCTGCTCATTTATGTTTTCAATTATGATTTCCATATTCTGAAGTCCTCTTGTTACGGCACAGTTCTGTACTAGGCAGGCACATTTACGTATCTTATGTTCAAACATAGTTTTTCAGAAAAAAGGAACTATTAATATCTTAGTGAAGCTTTATTAATGTGGATCTTGCAACCATTAACATTTAGCCCATCCAGCACTGAACACTAATGTTGATAAAAGTTCACTGTCACTAAAGCCTTGTCACCCACTTTGTGGCGCTGGATCAACAGTGCAGGCATCACACGAAAACTCTTTAGAAACGGAGAATCTTGAGGCACATCCCTGCCAGGTTAAACTGAGAACTTAAACATAGCTGCAGGTGATGCCCAGGCACATTGATGCTCAGAAAACTGCATGAAGGTCCTCAAGTCCCCTCAGTCTTCAAACCCACAATATACATGCTTTTCAGAATGACAGTTCTGCAGTTGTGATTTTGACAAATGCCCCTTCCTCCTCTAGACTGAAACACTTCTTGGGAAAGTCTGCCCAGTGTTGGTCTCCAGAGCCACTTACATCGCTCAAATATGTTACATGAATCAATGAACATGCCCTGGATCTTCTTCATATCTACTTCCCCCAGCTTTGAGGGCTCCTCAGAGCTTCAGCTGGATTTTCTCAGATCTCCAAGGGAATAGAAAGAATCTCTGAAGGTAGAAAAGCATACCTGAATTGGACGATTTGGGTCTCTAGCAGTTAAAAGTTCTCTGAGTACTGGGGGGAAAAAAAGGTATCTAGTGTTGTGGCAACACAGTCCAAGAATGCACTTGTATGAGTGTTCTGAGTGCTCGTGAGAAAGCTCCAAGAAAACAAGTCTTGTGACTTCAGTTTCTTCAAAACACAGAATTGTTCTTGGAATGTTTTTGTGCTCCTCTCAGGTGTCACAGACAGTAGTGAGTTTACTAATTACATAATTCATTATTGCTGTTGTTTTCAATTAAATGTTTAAACTATTTTTTATATCTCTATGAAAAAACATTTTTTTTTTTTTTGCCATGTGCAGCTTGTCACTGTGATTGTAAACACCTTGAACTAATGAGAATTTTACTCATGTGATTGCTCCTAAGCTTCAGAGGATAAATTGTCTGGTGCCCTGAATAAAACTGGCTATTCCTTAACACTTTAGTCCACCTCGTTTATCAAACTCATTCTCCCAGGTCCTACCACCTCTAGAGCAGCGGTCAGTGTGCTCTCTCTAAATCTGTGCAAGGACTTTCATTCCTGTATGTTTTCATTTTGTTCCCTTACAGTTGTTTTTTTCTTCCACCAGGAAAAGATATTAGAGAATAAAATGTTATAAGAAGATCACTAATAAAAGATTTATATAATGCATATATACTTAAGTATTTACTTGTATTTTATATTGCTATATAAAGAAACGTTTTCATTAAGTTACAAAATGTAACTAATATACTGAGGCAAGCATGCATCCCAATGGCCTGATCTCTCTCCCCTGGCTGTGCATGTGATGAATGGGTTTCATATTTTTAACCCAGAAAGTATAATGATATCTATGTTCCCACTCTTCCATGTGGTAAAGGAAATTTGAGCATGGCTGTGAGACAGCAGTGTCTCACCTCAGGACCCCAGTCACAAAAATCAGAAGTCAAAAAGCAAGAAAGAGACAACTGGTATTATTAACAGTCTTTTTATTTACAAAGATTGCTTTTATTTGGCCATTTTGAAAACCACGAACATTTTTCACTTTAGAAAACATTAAATAATAAACAAGATGTTATACAGTACTTTGGATAACTTCTTTCATCAGTGTAGTGCAATGTCTTATTGGCACCAAAAAGTGAAATTCTCAATTACTTTCCCCTTTCTTCTTCAGCTGTGCAGTTACATGACCAAAAAGGAAATGAATCATGAATAAACACATCTAAGAACCTATTATCTGGCTTTATTCAAAGACTCCGTTCAGAAGCTCCAACTCTGCCTCTATTGAGCTACATGACAAAGTTACTTAAACCTGTTCAAAAACATCATCAGTGTGTGGAACCTGGAAGGCTCCTAGTACGAAAGTGAGCCATGGGAAGAGGTGAGCAAGAGGGCTAATGGTACTTCAGTAGCCATGTCAACTCATCACATGCAAAACAGAGACAAGCACCAGACCCAAATCTCTCTGACCCATGTTTCTTGGTGGGGGGGTCTCCCTGAAAAACATGTCTAAACAAGCATCTACTGAACCAACCACGGGGGTCACACCCTTAACCCAGGAATAAAACGGTCATAGGACATTGTAAAGATACTACAGCATCTGTCTGATAAAACCTCTCCAGGAATAAATAATTTGGGGATTTGTTGATTTAATACTGCTGGGGTTGGCTGTTGAGCAAGAGGCATTTTAGTGAGCTAAGTATTTCCTTTTGTGACCTTTCTAATAGGATGTCAAGAGAAAAAGGTCTAACTCAGAGTTCTGTCCAAATTGCTTATTTCTGAAGACTGTCATTATTATGTACCCCTGTGAGGATCAAAGTGTCTTCTAGATTCCACATCTGGTACTTTAACTTGAAGTAAGCACACCTTAAACAGATAACATTTTAATGAAGTTTTTTTTTTTTTTTTTTTAAGGAAGGAGCTAGAGAGGAAGAGAGGAGAACTGGAAAGAGGGAGAGAGATGGAGGTAGAAGTAGGAGAAAGGGAGAAGGGAGTAAAAGAGAGAGAGAGAATGAACATAATATGATTTTCACACTCCTTTTTTGTAAAAGATTTGGCTTAGCAACTGTCCCTGCCAGGAAATGCCCCCTCACACTCTAGCCTAAGCCTGTTTCCTCTTGTTCTATTCTCAGCGCACGTGGAGAACAGCTGGTATCCCAGCTCTTGGTGCCAACCCTTCACATAGTGGAAAACCATCAATGGTTTGCCCCTCAGTCTTCTCTTCTCCAGTTCCTTTAATTTTTCATCATAGATCTTTTTTTCCAACCCTTTAATCATCTTTGTGTTTCCTGGCAAAAACAGCAGAAAATATTTTGATTACTTAATCAGAAATGAGAGAAATGTAAGGAGAAAGTTGACTTTACAAAGTTATGTGTTTTTAATACGAAGGTATGACAGGGAGGAGATACCGTTGGGCTTTGTGGATATTAGAATTCCTATCTTGTCCTCCTCTAGCGCATCTGTCTCATTCCATTGCATGTGTTGCCTCGCTGCACAGGCCTGCTTCCCATCCCAGCCTCAGGTAACATGTACGCCGTGAGCTACACTCTCAGAAACCTTGCCAATTTAAAGCTCCTTATGAATGCCTGTCCCATGGCCTTCCCTAGTCTTCCACCCTCCCCCCAACAAAGCTTCTTACCAATGGAGCCGTGTAACAATGGTGAAAGCTTCTGGTTTAAAGCATAACTCGAAACATGAGGGTTTTATATATTAACTGCAGGTCCTTGCTTCCCTTAATCGTTTACTTTCTTCCTTAAAGATCAAACTCAAGGACACTGAAATAAGGTCATCATTCCACTACCCCAGCTGCACACTTCTGCCAGTTTTCTTGCTGCCAGTAAGAGGTCATGGCCCAGATGACATTTCACATGTATTTCTTTTTTAACCAAAGGGATCATAAGCTGCCTTTGACCTTGCAACTGGAGTCTGTGAATATTAGGAACATGTAAATACTTATATTAATAGCACATTTACACAAACACAGTACTACCAACAAGGAATTTCCATGCCCCCCCCATAACTGTCTTTGAAACAAAAACACAGTTTACAAGAATAAATGCACCTTAACACATTCTACACCCTTCCGTTATAAAGTGTTCGGCAGTGAAAGTCAGAGTTGAGGTCAGGCCAGAACTAACTTGAGTGAAAAGGAGAAACTAGTTTCCCAAGCGCACTGTGTACCATGCTGTAAGCAACGTCAATACTACTCATGGTTCAACACTGAACAGATCACAGAATGCCATTTGCACAGAATGAAAACAACTCCCAGGATTGGCTACCAGGCCTGCTCTGTCATCAGGATGAAGGATGGCATGGGTCACACATGCCGAAGGCCTTCCTAAAGGGGACACAGGTAGAAGGCCCCACCCTGGAAGGGACTGGATGTGTCTCCAGATGCTCCTGTACTTCAAGGAGGGTGTCACTGTTCACTGGGATTGCACAAAGACAGGCCACCAAGACCCAAGTCACCAACTGGCCTTCCTCCTGACCCACTCTTGCCCTAGGCCTGATACGAGGGAGATGAGAAGGCAAGGATTGGAAAAAGAGGAAGAAGGGCAAGGTCACTGCTAGCTCTGGAGTTGCCAGTGTTCTTCTTAGCAGTGGCCTCTTTTCAAGCTCACATCATCCAATCCAATCTCCCCCGTGTGACCACGCTTTTTTTCACCTTTGAAGATGACCTAGGGAGAGAAGGCACACACTGGTCAGGCTTCCGCTGCCCCTTCCCAGTGCTCACTCGTGGAGCATAAGAAGGCAAGCCTTCCCCCAAACCAAACATTAGACTTCTATGGCAAAAGGCACCACTAGAACACAGGGGCCGGCATCCTCCCAGGTCCCTTGTCCTTCTGCATGCTCCCTGCAGTCAGCAAGCTGTTCACCCGACCGGAGGACCCAGCATTGGTTACTCTTCAAGTTGGCATTCTTGCTACACACTAGTTTACTGCAGGAATGCTTACAAAGCACACGATGGTCAAAGATTACCAAGGTTTAGAAGGAAGAAGAGTGTAGTGAGGCAAAAGGCTGAGAAATTAGGGGCTGAAGAGCTCCAGGTCTTGCAGCCTGACTTGGTTTTCTCTTGATAATATTCCCTCACCACCCACAGTGGAACAGAGCATACAACATAATCCAAGCACACTATTGCTATGGCTGTGTAACCCCAGCTTCTGGGAGATTTTACTAGCTCACATTTTATCCTCTGTAGGGTAGCCCTGCTCCCTTAACATGGGACAAACCTCTCAATACTATGATTTAAAGCAGTGCATTTTCCTGTTTTACTTCTCCGATATAAACATTAAGAAAACAAAAGCAGGGACTGGAGAGATGGCTCAGAGGTTAAGAGCACTGGCTGCTCTTCCAGAGGTCCTGTGTTCAATTCTCAGCAACCACATGGTGGCTCATGACCATCTATAATGAGATCTGTGTCCTCTTCTGGTGTGCAGGTGTTCATACAGACAGAACATTGTATAAATAATAAATAAATCCAAGAAAGATTGAGAGAGAAGAAAACAAAAACAAACTGTACAGAAAATCCATGAAAACTGTAACGGGGTCTGTGGTTCTGACATGGTTTCAAGACACTCTGTAAGAATGGATGTAGTCTTCATGACAAAGTTGCATAAGCACCGACATAGAGATGACATTTTCTCAAATCCACCCAGTATTTTGGTGGGATGGGATGGATCATTTTCTCACTATCCAGGACTTGATTATTTAAAATAAAATTTAAAATCTAAATACAATTTACACCCCCACTCAAAGCTTCTCCCATAACCCACACTTTCCAACTCTGGATCTTGACTCCCAGCTGAATCTGTAACTCTTATCTCTGGGCCAGAGGGAAAAACAAATTTCAAAGGAACACTTAAAAGTAGAAAGAAAAGCTACATCCACAGACGTTATCCTAGCAAAAGTTGGAAGCTTAAGGAACTGGAGGGGAAAAAAGGAAAAAAGCAGACACCATTAATCACAACACCTGAGACCCTGCATGTTTCTATCAACTTTTTTTCTTTTTAAATTTTCTATTGCTAATTTTCTCTCATTGAAAACAAATGGTTTCCATGCTTGAGTGAGGGTGTAGTGTTCAAGGTTGCAATGAAGATGGATGAAAAGGCAGAAAAGAATTTCGGAAAGAGGCAGTGGGTGGAGCCCTCGTGTCCAGGAAAAGCCACAAACCGCCAGGCCTGAATTCACAGAGCAAGGCTTCTTCCCCGCCTCTCCTATGAAAGCAGCCTCCCTTTGGGGATCTACTTACGCTCTTGACGTCAGCCCCTCGCAAGGTGATCTGGGTTTGCCTCCAGCCATGGCCACCATTTCTTCCCCACAGGGCTGCTCCGTGGGTGCCATATTTTCTCACAAACACCTGCAGTGTGCCGGAGGGCAGCCCAGTCACCTTGTGCCTGAAGGACAGGCACAGGTCCCCTGAATGCATGAGGTGGCCGAGAGGTAGCACCAAGCGAGCGGCTTTCCCCCCAGGGGCTTTGGCTGCCGACACTGTGAGATACTGTCCACCTGGAACGGGAAAAGCAGGGCCTCTCTCCAGCACAAACTGCATGGACACGAGGTTTTTAATACACTTCAGACTGTAACATTTGTTAATAAAAATCCCAGATCTTTTTGAAGAAAAAAACTAGAGCTTGTTTCTATGCCTGTTGTAAATGCTATGCTGTTTACATATAACACCCACGTACTTTGTCGAGAGAGAACAAAGACATGATTAGTACTCCAACATTGACTGTTTCCTTGGGATACGATCAGACATCCCTAGGCATGTGTGTTCACTACCTTCTGATTCTCACCCACTCTGTGCTGCTGGGCATCCCACACTGGCTTAGGAGAAATGACCCAAAATTTTCTGGCTAACATTTATTTGTAGATAACTAACCTTTGGACTTTATAAAACACAAAGTAATGAAAACTATATGATGCTTATTCTGCTTATTCTCTCCTCTCTCTACTTAAAAACCACAGTCCTTAAATGCAGAAAGATGATTTTTAAAACAGTTTGCTATCCTTCTCACACAGAGGCACAGCTAACACCAGGGGACATACAGGCAGCCTGGAAACTCTCTGAACCTCCCTGGGTTATCAGTTTCATTTGGAGGCTAGTGATTTAAGATACATACATACATACATACATACATACATACATACATACATACACACACACATATATAAACAAATTTATAACTTTATTCTCTGTCTATGTGTCTGAATGTCTATCTGTTTTGTTATATCTAAGAAAACAAAAATGTAATAAAAGCCTTCACTTTTGACCCATCACCTTGGCTGTCCTCAGACCCCAGTCGTCTATAGATTTCCCATCTCTCTTTTGTTACAGAAGTGCAATTTGAACAACAACAACAAAAAAAGTTAAGCACCACTACAGTGGGGGCTGCTGCTTCTCAACAGAAAGCTGTGGCTGTGAGTGTTTTGAAAGTCAGTGCGTGTCCAGATGAGAATCCCTTCAGGCGGTTTTTGTCACAGTCGATTGAAAGCACACTGAGAGTTTCGACACTGATTTGTCCACAGGAAGAATGTGGTTGGAATGCTGAACACATGTATCTGCTGTGGGAGAAACCTCATTTCCTTCTCAGCCCAGAGGCAGACCATCATCATCGCCTTTCGCTTTATTTACATGGCAAGACACTTGGGATGTCTTCTTATCCAAGCATGTTTTCTCTACCTCGGTCCCACCAGCATTCTCCTAGGTAACAAAAAACTCCTGAGCAAGTGTGATGGATCCTTGCCCTGTGCTAAGTGCTCCCTGCAGGCTGCAAACAACTGAAGCCAGTCCTGTCTGCACCTCAAACCTTCCCATTAACATCCTAAGACACAGTGGGTAATTAAGGGTGTTTGTTGCATGAATGCCTGATATTAAAAAAAAAAAAAAAAAAAAAAAAAAGTAGCAAAAACCTGCCAGAAAATTGACTCATGTGCCTGAGTCAATAAAAACACGATGTGTTGGCTTCCTCTCTCCTTATCTTGGCTCCCTCCCCCCACACACTGACACCCCCAAAATACTGTCTATAAGTCTGTTTTTATGGTTAAGACTAAGGTAAGATGATTACAGTAAACCTGCAAGGTTTAAGATAACAAGGATTATCTTAAGTACCTGTGGAATGTATGCTAATATCAGTTTTCAAGACACTGCATGCAAACAGAGCATCTAACAAACCAAGGCACCCAAGCGTCAAACAACCCTTTTCTAAACATATTCCAAACTCTAAAGTTGCAATAATGATGAATAAAGTTGTTACTGTTCTTCCTCCATACAGCTGCTCTGAGTTGGGCTTAATTTTTTTTTTAATTTTGTTTATTGACTGAGTGACTAACTGTTGGGAGAGACAGGGATGCCTACATGCCATAGCACACATGTAGAGGTCAGAGGCGTACCGCCGGAATTGGCCAGCAAACTCCGAGGAACAATTCTGAGCGGCATACTGCCATAAGCTGTGTGCTTGCACCGTCCTCCCACTCTCTGCCGTCCTTTGCTCTTTCCATCCTTTTATCCAAGCTGAATACTTGCTCACTGAATCCCTTGGGGATACCTGAGACATTTTCCACATGGATACAGACCCTCACACCTGGAGTAAGAGGTCATCTCATATGTAGCTCTAGCCCTTTATAACAACATCTTTCCAGAGGCCACCCCACCAAACACCGACAAGTGAAGGCTCATCTCCTCCCCACCAGCTTGTTCTTCCTAGTAAATCTATTAAACAATCGTCTAAGAGTTTGACCAAAACTACGTTGCTTTCTACCATGGGTCCTACTTCTTATCCCCATTTGAGTCACAAGGAGCAGTTGGTCAACCTTAAGTCAATTGTTTCAAAGCAGTACAATTCTACTTTTTCTTCTCCATCTTCAACATTCTGGCGTTCACCCAGTTTTCACAGATAAAGGAAGATCCACCTCTTTATCCAGGCCACTCCACTCTGAATGATGTGCATCTAAGGCTCAGATGAGAAAGGCTCCTCGGAAGTGGGTCAACAACTTCACCGCAACATATTTTACCTTCTGGGAAAGGACCATCTCCACAGACATACTCCATCTTTTTGAAACCATGGTCGTGGGCTTCGCCCAGGGTGACTTCACTATGCACTAAACTCTAAAAAGTCTTTCACATTTAGGGCTTGCTTGCATCTTTCAACAGGTGTATTGTTTTCTAGACCTTGAGACATGCTTGCCATCAGACTTATCACTGTGTGTGGCCCGGTCACACAACTATTCTTGGATGATGGTTCTGTCAACACACACAATCACTTTCTCTCCACTTCGAGTCAAAATTAGGTCAATTTCTTCAATATCTAAATCCCATACCCATTAAATCCAAATTTTTATAAAAAAATTAGAAAAAAACATCCTATATGAGTCAGATCTAATCTTCAGGTGTTAGCCTACCTGAGCTGCTGCCACGTTCTTTCCGTTTGTTCAATCCTAACACTGTGCAATGACCACTTAAAATATTCCTCCCTACCATTCCCAATTTCATGTATCTTTTGCTAGAGGACAAGAAAAATTTGACCCACAAATCGAAATGTCTGCAAACGCGGTAATAATGGAAGGTGTTGAAAGGTAGTACATAGTTCTAAAAAAGTGTTCTAAAATGTCAATTTAGTTTGTTTTACAAACTAGCCTGTTTCTACAAAACCAATGAAATCTTTCCGACAGTGTGAGTTACGTTTTATGGTGTACCTTACTCAAAAGAATATTCATTGTGGCGATGAACGTTACTAACAGGCTCATAAGCCATGCCGGTAGATCTTTCGGTTGCAAACTTCTGCAGGCCAGCAGTCTGACCCAGCCCCACTTAGAGGTCTGAAACACGAACTCCATCAGGTACAAGTGTTACTGCTGCAGGCACTGAATGGACTCTACAATGTACTAGTTTGTTGTTGTTGTTTTTTTTTTTTTTCTTCACTCTAGCTTTGTGGCCTAAGGAGGCTTACATTTGACTCGCAGGGCATCAGTACTTCTCTTGTGAAATAAAGACAGTATCACCTGATTCACTGAATGGATATGAGGATTAAATTAAATGAGTGAGGTGAAGACGTTAGCAGATATTAACATCTGTTGAGTCTGTGTTATTCGCAGACACTGTGGCAGTAACAATATTATGCTCGGAGGATACCTTACACGGGTGTAACTCAAAACATAGAAATGAGTTCAATTGAACTGTACGAGGCATTGCGTGATTCTTTTTATAACAAATCTCTCTCTCTATCACTCTCTCTCTCTTTCTGTGTGTGTGTGTATGTTTTGAGATGGGTTTCTTTGTGTAGCCCTGGCTATTCTGGAACTTGCTCTGTGGCCCAGGCTGGCCTTGAGCTTAAGAAATCCATCTCCCTCAGCCTCCCAAGTGCTGACATTAAAGGAATGAACCAACACCACCAGGTTAGAAAAAAGCAAATCTTAAAAACCATATTAATGTATTGAATATTCATGTTTTTAAAGTTTACCTCAAATATTTACTCTTAAATATCTTTCAGTTTCAATTCAATATTCTTTCAAGTATATTTGATTCAATTTTAGAAGCTCTAATGGAAGTAGTTTGAACTAATTGTTTGAAGCCTTGCTGCTGAGACTGTACCCTGCAGAAGGACACTATAAACGCCACTGGCTTCCCTGGGGAGCCAGCTATGATCCCTCGGATCCGAGTGCCACAAAGCCCCACTTCCCTGCAGCACAACTGCTGTATTAGGTTTTAAGTGCTCACAAACTAGCTTTTCTGTGTTGTGTTTCAAAGACAGGACGGCACTTGAAGACTAGGCGTCAGACCTACATAAAAGAGCACTTTCCCTTCATATCGTTTGTGTCTGTTCTTCAGAAACAAAGGGGGGGGGAAACTAGGTTTCTCCCCCTTCCCTTAAATTGGCTTCACTCAAAAGAACATTTACTTGCAGAGGGAAGAAAGGGGCCAATGTGTATGTAGCTTTACTTCTTGAAAGGAGGCAAAATACTTCATAGGAACTAAACGTTTACATTAGTAAGCACTGTACAATTTACAAATCTACTAATTTTCCCAGAGCCTGTCTCTAAGTCCAGCTAGGTAATAAGCTTCTCTTGGGGGCAGTGCTCTGTCTTCTTGGGTCTGATTTAGAGTAAATCGCTTCCAGAGAGTCGCTGCATTGTGTAAATTTCTATTGTCTCCATCATTTGCAGCTCATATCTTCATCCACAAATCAGAGAGAGCCCAGGGGCTGTTCCCACAGGGGACAGGCCACTATGTAACTGCTTTTATGCAGAGGAACTGGGTGCTACAAGTACCTTGAAAGTTATAACGTTAGGACAAGCTTAAATGCTTATTTACCAAGCTTTTTGAGGCAAACCATCTGACCTCTTGGTTAACTACCTGTGTTCCATAATATGAGTCTAACGGGCAGCTAGAAAATCTCCTCTTCTAAAGAAGATGGAATATACATAGTAGGGACAATTTTTTTTAATGGTCAAAAGGAGCAAACAGTAGGTGCTAGATCATGTGACTTTACCTGCAGGGTCCCTGATGGGCTCCCAGTGTAAGTCGCTGTCTTTCTCTCTGATCCATCCACAAAGTCCATGGTCAAAATTACAACTGTGTATGAGAATCCCTGTGAGGAGGCAGCCAGAAGAATAAGATCACAAACTCAGCAAGCATCAGCCAACAATTTGCACCTTGCCCTGAGCTCAGAAGGGAAATGATATACACCTTTTGCCAACATGACTGGTATAGATGCTCAGCTGAGAAATCAGAACCCAAAGTGCTCCTGTCTCATGACCCAGTTGGGCTGTCACTTTAAAATAGGACTTCTGTCCCACAATTCAAACACTAATGTCATTTTAAAAGAAAACTACGACTTGTAATTATTTTTCTCAAGTGATCTAACCAACTGAGTTGTACAAAAACAACAAAGGAAAAGAAATTACATAATTTCCCTAAACATGACTGGGGATCTACAATCTTATTTTCTCATATTCATAAAACCCATTATTTTGCATCCCAGCTGGAAAAAAACAAAAAACAAACAAACAAACAAAAAAAAAAAAGCCACACACACACACACACAATTCAAAGATCCTTTCCTGACATGGGGGCCAAGAATGGAATGTAACTGCATCTACCTGGGTCGTCTTTTGCTTCATCATCCGCGCTGATTCCTCTTTCGATTTCAAATATTTCAAACAGGTCATTTGACGGCTGCCGCGGAACTATAAGAGAGAAGCTAAAGGTTTGTTTGTTTCCTTTGTCTGTCTGTTTGTTTTTAATGAGACCTTACAAAGGTATAGGTGCCCTGTCTTTAACAAGTACAAGGAGGCAGCCTATGCACTTCAGTCCATTTTACACGAGGAGCAATAATACAATTTGCTGTGCAGGTATTTGTGCTCTAACACTGGGATATAAACGAAAAACAAGGTAATGGGCGGGACAGGTGGCTCAGCTTGCTGTATTCGTGTGTATCCCAGGTTTGGGTCTACAGCCCCCATATTAAAAGCTGGAGCAGCAGATCACATCTGTAACTCCAGTGTTGTGGGGCAGAGACACGAGGACCCCTTATGATGTTCGGTCAGTCTGCCTAGACACATAGAGGCTTCCGGTTTGGTAAGAGACCCTGTCTCAAAACAATAAAGGGGAGGCAGCGGCTTGCAGATCCTCACTGCTAAAGCTACTGGTTTCAGTTGCTGTTGGGTTTTTTTGGTTTTGTTATGTTATGTTTTTTTGTGTTGTTTTTTCTTTTCTTTTTTTTTTAGTATTAACTCAAAGGTGCAACTTTGCTTCCTTTCTATTTTTTTCAGATATAACCCCCATGCCCGACTTGAAAGGTATGACTTTATCTTCTCCTTCCCAACACCCTCATCCCAGCAGCTGTGGAAACACACAGCTTGTCTGCCTTGCAGTTTCTCTCTCCGCCACCAATAAAATTGTCCTTGAGCTTCAAAGTGATCGACTGAATAAGTAAAAATGAGGTGGCATGTAACGAAAAGGACACCTGATCTACATACATACACATGCGTTCATATACATGCACACATGAATACGTACATATACCATACACACACCAAACACACATACATACATACAGAGAAAGAGAGAGAGAAAACAAGTATTCACGTGGGAAACATACTATGAAACAACTTCTAATTTCTAGCAAAACGATTATAAAAATTCATCTCTGTGCATGATTCGTTAGTGGGTGGCTTGGTTTTTACTCACAGAACCTACTTCCCTCGACAGAACTCTGCACAGCACTGTGCACCTAGCCCACACCTCCCACCACAGCCTTCCTTATCTAAGCAGGTTTCCCAGCTCCTGGAAGATCAGATACAGGCAGTTTCCTGGTGAGCATTAACCGTCCACCCAACAAAACACACAACCCTGTCCAAGCATGCCATTCATTTCCACATCCCTGACACTGGGGCTTTTCTCCCTACTAATTAACCTGAACAAACACCCCCTCTTCGTTTCAGGCCCAGCATAAACACCAGGGAAAGCTGTGAAAACTTTCATACTCACGGGAGAATTAAATTCTTCCCTGCTGTTGACCCATAGTCCCATTTGCATATTTCTTCCGTATGCATTTGTAAGGAGCGCGCGCGCACACACACACACACACACACACACACACACACACACACACAAGTGACTGTCTCTGCTAGTCCCTGAGGTCTTCACTGGCATCAATCACATCCTCCTCACATGGCATTTCCAGGGCTTGACCTGGTGACAGGCACTCAGTGATCACTGAGCAAATGCAAAGATCTTGTCAGAAAGCCATGTTCCTTGTCAACACCCTTCATCCGATGTCACAAGCGGGTCAGAGCTTGAATACACTTCAAGAGAACTGACTCACTTAAGCCCTTGTTTATGCATTCATTCGATGTATATTTGATTTCTGCCCCAGCTCCAAGCCCCATGGTGGACTCAGGGAGACAGCTCGAGGAGCGTGAATGAGACCAGCACAGCTGCAGGGGGTATGGGGCCTGAGTTCTGATAGCAGACAATGACAGCAAACTCAGGGATCAACAGACAGGGTAAGTTTTGAAGAGGGGTAGGAAAGAAAAAAAATGCCCCAAGATGCCCTGAAGAATAGCAGGGTCAGAGGGTAGGGAGAACTGTGGGGAAGCTGGTAGTGATTACGGGAATTCTTGCCCAGGCCCAGGAGTACTCCCTTCTCTTTGCCAGAAACTTAATTAATACTCTATTTTCATAAGACAGGAAATAAAAAGACAGACTACCACAAAACTGAAGACCCTCAGAGAGGCTCCTTTTCTCTGAGTTATGCTATTGCTGTCAGCAAGGACTTCTGAAAGTGACAGTCTTATGCTACTTGCAACTGTCTTTAGCCCGCTACATCTGGATTGTCCCACCATTTTGTTTCAAAAGTCAAAGCAGGAAAGTGCCCTCCTTCTTCACACTGTATGCCCTCAAATGGACAGGATGGCAGAATCTAAGACAGAAGACAGTTGAGCCCTTCTGGCACCTGGGGCTGCCGAATGGCTGACAGCAATCACACCCAATGACAGCTTTCCTGTCCTCATTTTTGGACTTAGAGAACATGTTTCTTATTTATCGGGAGTCAATATTACAAGTAAATCTTCATTTCTTATGATTTACCTTATTAAAAAACATTGGGACACAGCTCTGCTTTTGTTCTGCTCCTCAGACACTTAAATGACTCTGACGTGGAAAAGGCTCAACTCCCAAGGTGTCCAGTGTGATGGCGTTATGACAGCACCCTTCCCCCCCCTCCATGGATGACTGTCCATTGTCATTTGTTCTTTTAATGCTTCCGGGCGCTCTGACACGTAAGGCTGTTTTTATCAAACAACACCAGGAGATTTTCTCTGGAAAGAACAAGGGAAAGAGGCAGAGCTTCCCAAGGAAAAGACAAAACTGGGATGATGAAAGTGGCACCTTCAGTGGTGGAGAGGGTGCCACAGAAGGTGGAAAAAGAGATGGGGACAAGACCATGCACTTGGAAAAGAGGAACCCCCAAATTAGTCATCCGTCGACCCACAAAGCCTCAGGTGGCTCCAAGAATTATTTAATTAGCAGTGATGGTGTTTACAGATTCCAAAGGATTTACCGGGCTGATGTGCCCAGCAGCCATCTGCTTGTATAGTGCTGTGTGCACTACCCTGAACCCTGACAGGTTATTCATTTTCCTCAGTGCGACTTGCTGAGAACATCACGCCAAAGTTTCTGCAGAGGTAAAGTATAGTGCCGGACATAGGTGATAGGATGTAAGAAAACCAACCGAAATAAATACGGAAATTTGAGTAGGTCTCAACATTTTTTTTGTTAAAGACTAGAAAAACGGGTCACAAGGAACACATTAAGAATGTGATAGTCTGAATGTTGGAAATTAAAGTGATATTTTTTATGATCTAATTCATTTAGTCTTTTATAATTGTATATTTTGAGGCCGTTGAAAAGTTTAAATATAAAAACAACCCTAAACAATCCACAAAAGAAGGTCTCTGTAAGGACACAGCTACACAGCGGTTACGTATCTGATGTTTGTATCTTGGCTGTTCAGAGAACTTTGAATAGTTTTGCTATCTGATGTAAGCAAGGTTGTAAAACTGAAATGTCTGTGAAATTCAAATACTTTCTTTAATTCAAGCGAGTGATTTTAATTGATGCAGAAAATATGAGTTAAAATATCTGAAAACAGACTAGCAGGGAAGGACACATGTAATTTTACCACTCTTCCTTGCTGGATATTTTGGCTAGGATTCACTTCAGACACACAATAAATGGAAACATAGCTGATGCTTTCTCAGAATTAGAATGGTGTAATAATAAAAATTAAAGAAGAATAAAAGATGTTAATAATGGTCCTGTCCATTCATTTTCTTTCCTTCAATGTCCCCCACTCACTGGGTAGCCAGTCAAAAATGCAGAGCAGCAGAGGTGTATGGGGCTAGGTTACACACCTGTAAAGCAAGGAACATACTTTACTCCTGCCTTTGTTTGACCTACCCTTTTAAGATGAAGATGGACATAATGGCTGCTTTAATGGAAAAGTAGAAGATGCTGCTTAAGTGTCGGTGTGATGAGTGAAGCCTGGTAAAGCTCACCCAGGACGGGGAGATGCTGAAACTCTCTGAGAAGTGATGTTTATACTAAGATCTGAAGTTTGAGTTTCTGTGATCGGCGGCCTTGGAGAATGAAAGGGTGGAGCACCAGTCAGCTGATGAGCTTCAGGGAAAGGCAGAGCACAGGCAGAAAAGTGCCAAATGGGAGCTGTACAATGACTGTTTGAAGCCTTGTTAAGATGTTGTATTCTATCTTGGCAGAATCTGGACACTCTAAATGGTTTTTATAGTACTGACGAGGGAAGGTTTGCAAGGTAAAGTTGCCATTCTACTGCAGCATGGAGAATGGCAAGGAGGAAGGTGAGAGGAGAAAGCATTTATGACTACAATTACTATAAAGAAAGTTCACACGCTTAAAAAAATTCTCCAACATTTTCCTGACATTATTCAATATTGCACCAATAAAAATGTTCTTGCGGTATGCAGATCTGCATGAGTTCTGCTCCCAAAGTGGCCTATATAGTGATTCACAGGCCAGCCAAGGCCACATAGTGAGGCCCTGTCTCAAAAACAAAACAAAACCTTGCCTGTTGCTTCTAACAACCATATGTATTACTAACGGAAAGAAGGTACTGACCCTCAAAGATGGACACTGTGGGATACAGAGAGTAATCCCAAATGATACGAACTGTAGGGAACAAAGGGTATTAGCCCCTAAAGAGATTGCAGGTTTGCCAGCTGCCTGGCAGGAGGAGGTAATATTTACATCTTCTTCTCTGTGTTCACTGTTACGGTTTTGCTGGGTAAAACTGCAGCTATTTGAGACATCTTTATGGATGTGGACTATATGTTAATATTATCGTATTCCTGGAGAGACTGACTGCACTTAATAGAATTGACTAGGGCAAACAGCAGCCTTTGCAAGCAGGACTGTTTCTTTCCATAGCTGCTGCCCAGCACAGGCACCAGGACTCTGCGGCCATTATGAGACGGTCCTGTGTCCCCAGTCCACTGCATTCATACTTTGTCCCACAGCCTACGTCTTCTGGGTTAATACACTCGGTATCCTACAATCTCTTTGGGAGTTAACACCCTCCATTTCCCACAGTTGTTATCATTTGGTATTGTTCTCCATGGCCATCCTCCATTCTGTAATCTCTGAGAGTATC